GGAGGACATTTTGATGACATTCATGACATCAAGAGTAATACGATGACAGCTCTGCTGGCCATTCCAGAAAAAGGGTTCCTAAATTGCTTTGAAGGGTGGACTAGGCGCTGGCATCAGTGCATAGCTTCCCAAGGGGAGTACTTTGCAGGTGACCATGGTGATGATATTCATCAATGAGGTATGTAGCACTTTTTCTAAGATGAGTTCGCAAACTTAATTGTCTGACCTCATATTCACCGGTTTTGGGATTAGGACTCAGACATATTTGGGGGGCCTTTATTCTGCCTCATACCTGTGTGCTGGAAGGGTGTGATGGTGAGTGTGCATGTTTGTATAGTTTTGTGTTCCTTCAGCTATTGCCTCTAACACAGTGGACCTCTCATTCCACTTTTTGTTTTTGCTTTGGTCAGAGTGAGAAAACCTTAGCTTCAGTAAGCAAATATATGCAAAGCCACCATGCAAATAAGGGCCTGGTTTGAACACCCTCCTGGCTGTCTAGGGAATTGGAAGAGAATCCACAGAGATCACTTCTAACTCATCTATCAATCCTAAACTCAGAGTCAGGCTCAGAGAGGCCTCCGTGACTATTTGCTGACCAGAAAATAAATGAGGTGTTGAGTGACCCTGAGGTAGATGGAACCTTATACCCCAGGCAAAGATGTACCTCCTCAGCCAGCTTTCCCAGTGGGGCTCTCCAGCCTCCTCCAGCATCCCTTCCACATGCCATGCTCTCCTGCCTGGACAATCTCCTCATTCACTCCACATCCCAGTGCCTGCTCAGTGCCATCTGGAAGATTTTCTCTTTCCTTCCTTCTCTCTGACTCTGTAACTCTGAAGCATCCTCCGAGGCCCAGGTGAAGTCTCTCCCGCTTGCCTTTCTCAACGTCTCCTTGCCCTCCTCCAAAGACAAGTGTCATCCTTGAAGGACAGGGTCCTGTTTCTCTCAGTGTCTACCACCGAGATGACCACAAGCAGGCCCTCAGTCATTGCCATGCACTGCGCACACCACACCCTTTCAGGCCTGTGTGCTTTTGCACATGCTGTCCCCTCTTTTCTAGAATATCCTGTCCCTCCTGTAAGGTCTCATCTCCCCACGTCCCCTCCCACATGTTGCCTTTCTCTTATCAATGTTGCCACTCTTCTCAGAGCCTATCTCCACTGTAGTATTTGTAGCATATAGTCACATGAACTATATATAATTCAATTCTATTAGACTGAAGGAAAAAAATCCATATTGTACAAACATTTCTTGAGTAGCTACTCTATGCCAGGCCCTATGCTAGGTGCTAAGGACGTAGATGAATCAGAGACCTGACCTCAGGGCCTAATGATTTGCTTTATGCCTTCCAAACTAGACTGGGGGCTTCCAGAATATGAGGACTCAGATTTGCTTCTTCAGTGGGTCCCCATCACCAAGCACAGACCGGTCCATAAGAAAGCTGTGTGGGGCTAGCCGAGTGGTGCATTGTTTAAGAGTTGGCTTGGGAAGCCAGCTCTGAGCAGCAGGGCCCCGGTTCGATCCCACATGAAGGCCAGTGACACTGCGTCCTCTACAGCTAAGATGGTGAACAACAGCTCGACCTGGCGTTGGGCTGCCATGAGTCGCCGGTGATGGTGTAGGCTGCAGTGGGGCTGGCCGGCAGCGGGCGTGAGCTGCCGTGAGCCTCCGTGAGCTGCTGTGAGCAGCAATCCAATGGCTGGCAAGCGACTGCCTCGCCCAGGAAGAGCGCAATGATAATACCAACATGGGCCAGTGAAGCGACGTCCTCCACAATTAGACTGAAGAACAAAAGGACAGCAACTTGTCTGTTTCCCTCCCCCAATTCCCCAATAAAAATCTTTAAAAAAAAAAAAAAGAAAGAAAAAAAGCTTTGTGGAGTGAATGCAAGATTGATGCTCTGGAGTTGTATCTTCAGCTCAGACAAGCCACTTCATTTTTCACATTTCTCATATGATAACTGGGGCCAGGAACCCCAGGGCTGGGGTGAGAATAAAGAAAACTATGAATGCAAAAGATCAAATATCCCTCAGGATGCATGAAAGATAATGATGGGCCTTCTACCTTCTACCAGGGCCAGCCGTACTCTTCAGGAATTGTGGAAGCAGCTCTCACTAGCATTGAATTCGTATCTGTCAGCTCTGGCCCTTCCTGAATCCTGTAGAATTCTCTGACAGAGCCATGGATTTCTCCCTCCAGCCTATGGACTGTTGGGAAATCCCCATTGTGCCTCCAGCTTTCAGCCCAGGCCCTGGCTTGTGTAAAATGCGATGAAGGAGCAGGTAACATGTCAGAACAGAAAGAATCAGGTCTGGGGAGTGTCTTCCAGGGACTCAATCAGAACTGAAGACATGGTTGGGATATTATGTTAGAGAAAATGGAAGCTGGGGCACAGGGAGGGACCTGCCTGGGGTCCCCAGTGAGTCAGCAATAGGGCTAAGGTAAGACCCAGGAATCCTAACTCCCATTCTGCCCATTCCATCTAAGGGCCACTAAAACCTTTCTGCATCTGAGTCCCTATAACACTCTTTCTTATTTTTCTCTCCATCCCCAGACACCTAGTTTTGCTCAAAAGGATTCTTGCTGTTTTCCAAACATATCACCTGCTTTCAACTCTATGCCCTTGCATGTTATATGCTTCTTTGTATATCCCTTTCTCTCACTTACCTACCAAGTGAACTCCTACTCATCCCTCAAGGCCCACTCAAATGATTCCTTCCCTGGAACAAAAGTGTAAACTCAGTTTATCCAGAACTCTTCATTTCTCCCTCCTCTGTGCTTTCCTAACACTCTCTACATATATATTTTTTTAACATTTACTTCCCTCTTCTATAATTGTCCATAATTGTCTTAGTCCTCACTAAACTGTATTTTTCTCTAGAAGAGGGATTATTTATACTTCATCTCTCTGTCCAAGGGCCAATCAAGGTGTCTGGCACTTGGCTGGCACTCAGTAAATGTTGGCCAAACAGTGGAACAAATGAAGGAATATGAAGCAAGTTACTTAACCTTTTAGAGTCTTAGTTTTATTACCCTTGAAAAGAAAGAAAGTTAAACAGATACGTGGCAAGAATAAATGGTGGATAATGAGTGTAAAACAAATAGCACCATCATTGAGTCAGTTGCTGGAGCCAAAAATAGAGAACTGCTCAAAATTTCCACTTCTCCCTCTCCACTTTTCCCTCCCCTAGGTAACCAGCCACCATGACTTGTCGAACCTGGCTGAAGACCTTGGTAAGAAACTTTAGGTTACTGGAGAATTTCCACCAGCCAGAGCTGTCAGGAAGAATGGTAGGCAAAGGGTGCTGAGGAGTTGGAATCCTGTAAGGGAAAGAAGCAGGAGGAGAGACTAATGGAGACAAAGACCACAGGAGGAGAAGATAAAGGATCCAGGAGAAGGGAGGAGTCAGGCCTGGTCCTGGGGACATAGTAACTACTCAGTCTGTTCCCTTAAGGAGGTCACGGTCTGCTGGGGATACACATAGAAACACAATTTTGTACAGAACTAGGCCGTAGTCGATCACTACCTCCTTCCCAATACCTCTTCTTTCCTTGGCTTCCAGGACATCACCCAACTCGCCAGGCTTTCTAATCTTTTTGGCTCTCCTTTTCAGTCTGGTTTGCTGCTTATCCTAGTTTTCTCAAATTCAACTTTTAAAGGAAACTATTTTCCATCTATACTCACGCCTTTGGTGATCTCATCCAGACTCATGGCCTTAAATACCACCTATGTGCTGATGAATCCCAAATTGATATGTCCAGCCTAGATTGCTCCCCTGACCTTCAGACCCATATGTTCCCCCTGCCTCCCCAACATCTCTACTTTAATCGACATCTCAAACTCATCACACCCAATAAATGAGCTCCAGGTAGTTCCCCCCTAAATCAGCATTTATCTTGTCTTTTCCATCTCAAGAAATGGCAACACCAGTCTTCTAGTTGTTCAGGCCAAAAATCTTGGCCCCTTCCTCTGATATTTTATATCCAATTTGTCAGCAAACACTTGTTGACTTTTGAACGATTTGTTGAAAAATACAGTTGACTTTCGAATGACATGGGTTTGAACTGCATGCGTCCACTTATTTGTGGATTTTTTTCGATACATACCTGTACTGTTTCGATCTGCATTTGGGAGTGTGGATGTGGAGAGCCAACTGCATGCACTGACTTATGACATTTTATATCGGGGAATTGAGCATCCATGGGGATTTTGGTATCTGTGCAGGATCCTAGAACCAATCCCTGGAGGATACTGAGGATATTTCCCTCAGACCACCTCCCCTTCAGACCTTCCTTCGAGAATCACTTTCCCAGTAAGGTCTTCCTTGGTTCCCCGATCTAAAATGAAACATCTTCCCCGCCAACTTTTTATTCCCACTTCTCTAGCTTATCTCCTTAGTATTCACTGCAATCTGGAAACTACATATTTTATTTATCTTCTTCATTGTTTATCTCTTATCAGAATGGAAGCTCCATGAGGATTTTTGGTCTGTTTTGTATATTACTGTATATCCACTACTTAGAATATTGACAGGCAGGGCCGGCCAAGTGGCGCATTGGTTAAGAGCTGGCTTGGGATGCCAGAGGGCCCCGGTTTGGATCCCACATATGAGGGCCAGTGACACTGCCCTCTACAGCTAAGATGCTGAACAACAGCTCAACCTGGAGCTGGGCTGCCGTGAGTTGCCGGTGACGGCGTAGGCTGCAGTCCCCTGCTGCAGTGGCCGCCGTGAGCGGCCGTCCAGAAGCCGGTGACTGATCTGCCCCGCCCGGGGAAAAGCACAATGATGGTGCCGACTTAGGCCAGTGAAGCAACGTCCTCCACAACTAGACTGAAGAACAAAACGACAGCAACTTGTCTGTTCCCCTTCCCCCAATTCCCCAGTGCTGTTCCCCTCCTCCAATTCCCCAATAAAATCTTAAAAAAAAAAAAAAGAATATTGACAGGCATATAGTAAGGCACTCAATAGGTATTTGTTGAATGAATGAAAGAAAAGGGTGGTCATCTCCAAGAGGCAAATTTTATTCTAATGAAAACTTCATAACAACTAGAGCTGCTTGGAAACATAATCATGTTGATATGCACACTACATGACCTCTTAAACATGTTGTCTCATCAAATCCTCACATCAGTCCAGGATAGGAGGATGGCTGGGCAGAGATTATGATGTTGGTCGAGGAATCTGAGTCCAGGCAGGAAAAAAAGACTTGTTGAAGGTCACACATCTGGTTAGGGCAGGAGTAGAACTGTGGATTGCTGGCCATGAAAGAGGTTGGTGGGTGATAGTGGGTGATGGAGCTTAATGGGAGTTGGGTTTGAAGGACTTCGGAGAGTGAGTCAGAGGTTACTCGAACAGAGACATCAGTAAAAGAGTGGGAGAGATGATGAGGCTGACCACTAAGCAGATTTGACCCAGGCTTGGAGAGGGTAGCTGAATTTCCCAGCAGCAGAATAGTCACTTCAGTGCCGGCATAATCTTGAATGCAGAACTGGACAGGCAATCTTAAGCGATCAGTGAGACCACTGTGGGTCTGCAGAGTCTAGCTTCCCAACTGGACTGTGAAGCCTTTGGGGCAGAGGCCATGTTCTTAGATTTATCCTCAGCTTCTGGCAGAGCCTGAGGTACAGAAGAAACTCAAATATTTCCGTTGAATGCATACATAAATGAATGCATGCGCCCAAATGGGAAACTGAAGGTGAGAGAGGACAGAACAGGAGCAGCATAAAATCACTCAGAAATTCTGGGGTAGAAGCAGACTAATTTTCCTGGGACGCAGTGTTACTGTGCTCAAGGTCCTCACTGCATGAATGCCAAAACTCAAGAGACAAAGCCAAAACTGGAGAGATGAGGTTGGTGGAAAGAAAAGCAGGTTTATTCAAAATGCCGGCATCCTGAGAGGATGGCAGACTCCTGTCTGAAGGCCATTTCTCCCTGCTTCCAGCACGGCCCAAAGTTTCATAGGCACAAAAGATGAGGCATGACAGGAAAAACTGTGGGGGGGGGGGGGGGGGAGGGTCTTGGCCAGGAGTAAACTGTCATTGAAATTGGTCTGGAGTAAATAGAATCATTGAAACTGGCATGCATAGTAAATATATAGTAAACAGAGTCATTAAGGTTTGGCAGGAGGGGAGGGGAGCAAAGCAAAGAAAAAAACTTTCAAAAAGTCCCAAGCTATACTACACTATTAAATCGAATTACACTAGGGGTTTAAATCTCAAAATAGAAAATACAGAGTCACCCTTACAGCAGCAGGACAGTTGCAGTAGTATTGCAGGTTGTGGACAGCTACTTTTCTGCAAGAGGTTGGCGTGCAATTACAGCCTGTCGGAAGATGGGTGAAGTTAAACGGAGCCGTTGGGGTGGGGCCAGGTTAGAGAGGCCGATTGGCTAAATTTCAAGGCGGGGCAACAGAGTAGGCTCGGCAAATTTGCATCCCAACAATGTTATTAAAGTGTGTAACATCACATCCGGTCTGGTGGACCGGGGAGGGAAACAAAAGAAGACCAAAGACGCATGCGTTTGGTGTGTCCCAGATTTTGGTGGGTCCTTCCGTTCAGGCAGAGAAGTGCTTCCGGGTCGTCGCCCGCTGCCGCCTCCCGGCGCGGTAAGTACAGAGGCAAGGCTGCGTCTGCTGTCTCCAAACCCCTTCTTTCCTCTTCCCTATAAAAACCTCGTTCCCCCCGACCCGCCTCCTCAGGAGCCCCATGTTCAGACTCCTTTCGACATTAAAGAGCTCCAGCTCATTGGCCGCTTCCTTGAGACCAAGCCCCACCCCTTCACGCAAGATCCGTCACTCATTGATATCACTTCCTGTCACCCAGCAATTCTTCCAGTTAATTGGCCCTATTCAGGCCCCGCTCCTTTTGCCATCAGCAACTCTATTAGGGCAAATGCCTGTCGTAATCCCGCCCCTGCCTTCTATCTGTTGGTTAACCTTACGGTGATTGTCATAAAAAGCAAAGAATGGGCGTTGGCTTTGAGGCGAAGGGCTGGGTTTTCGGAGCGTCGGTCTTTGTGCCTCAGTAATTGTGGGACTTGAGGGTTGGTACTGTTGTACCTGTTACGCGGGCTGGGAAGCCGAGGTCCACGGAAGGTCAGCGACTGATTCCGGATCGGTCAAATAAGTTAGGGCAAAAGCAGAGTTAGATCCTTTTTGCCTGCTCACCTTCTCTATGCTGGGCCTGGATCTCTTCCCCGCGGGAGTTCTACGCCCAAATTCACTGGGTGACCTAGAGCCAGTCGTTGCCTGTCGCTGGGCATCAATTTTCCTGTGAGCTGAAAGGTTTTAATTCAGATTCTCTGGGACCTTCCTGGTCAGCTCCCTCAGCTGCTTAATCCGATCTGAATTTATTTGTTCTCTCACGTGTTCATCCATTCAACCTTCCATGTACTTATTTATACATTTACCCATGCCTTTAGAATGTCTTACTGAACCATACTTGCACGTGGTAAGCCCCCTCCCTCCACTCTCAGTTTGGCTGTGGTTCATGAGACAGGGGGTTAGTGTCCTAAATTTCTGACACTTGGGTTTGGTATGGATCATAATAGAGGGGAAAAAGATCTTAGTATTTGGCGGATATACAGAGACAGTTTCAGTGGAGCCCTGTTACCTATAATTTTATATAATTCTGTCATGCTAGTCTGCATTTTGGAGTCCTATCTCTACATTTGGCTTCCGTTTTCTTCCTTGAACAGCTTATAAACAGCTTTACTTATCCATAAAGTAAATTACCTTGTCAGAATAACTGTGAGGGTGGTATAATTGTTATTATCCCAATTTTACGGAAGAGGAAGCTGAGGCTCAGAGAGGTTAAGTGACTTGGCCAAGGTCAGACAGCTAGTCGTAAGTGGTGGAGCCAGGTCCCAAACCCAGGTCTGTCCGATTCCCACAGGGAAGGGCTGCTTCCCTGCTCCCTTCCACTCCACCCCGTCCCCAAATCAAACTGTAACCCAAATCAAAAACAAAACCAAACACATTTGAGAGCTGGATTCACCTAACCTTTTCCCTCAGCCTAGGAGCCATGTCCACCTTGTTCCCCTCCCTCTTCCCCCGTGTGACTGAGACACTGTGGTTTAATCTGGATCGACCCTGTGTGGAAGAAACAGAGCTGCAGCAGCAAGAACAGCAGCATCAGGCCTGGGTGAGTGAGGACCTAGCACAGTGGTGGCGCCTCAGTCAGGGACCAGCACGCCCCACGCCCCAACCCCTGCCCCATTCCCCACTTTCACTGGCCATGACCTAGCCTTACTCTGGAGACCTGCCCTGGAGGAGCTTTTTGCTTTGAGCTGGGAATGATCTGACTGGAAGCCAGATTATAACAGGGAGGGTTGAGGGTTGGTGGGGTGGGGTGNAGAGGGGGGGGGGCGGGGAGCCTAGCTTCTCATCTTTGTGTTACCCTAGTTTGCTGGGGGACCATGGGATCTCTGTGCCAGATTGGAGCCCAGGCTCTTCTCCCTAAAGCATAGGAAATAATAATTTTGAGTATTTTTGAGGACTTAGTAGATGCCATGTTCTAGGCTGAAAGTCTCTCATTTCACCCTCTTCATAATCTTATAAGGAAACCAAGGCCCAGAGACTTTATGTAATTGGATAAAGTTTATAAGTAAGTGGCAGATGACAGGAGAGAAAGGGATTGAACATTCCTGGGAACTGGAAGGAGGCTTCTCTTCCACACTTGGAGACTTCTTGGGAGCAGGGTGGTCCAGTCCCATGCCCCTGACCTTCCCTGCTTGGGCCCTGGCCCTGCTTTCCTTCACTTTTGGCCACAGCTCCAGAGCATTGCAGAGAAAGACAACAACCTGGTACCTATTGGCAAGCCTGCCTCAGAGGTGAGTGGAGCCCAGTTGGACTAAGGTTCTGCTCTAATTCTGAAGGTCCTGCCTCTGACTCCAGAGCAAGTGTGGTCCTCAGCTCTGGGTGGAAACCAGAGGGGATGGGCATTGGGCCCAGAACTAAGGTCCTGCAGAACATGCACCAGCCTGCTACACAAGCGGGGCAGGTTTGGGGAGTGGGGTCTTTTGTTGGCCCCAGAGAAGCTCCAAGTGGGCCAGGCCTTGAACTGGTCCAAGCAGGCCTGTAGAGACTACAGGCTGTCCCCTACCTCAACAGCACTATGATGACGAGGAAGAGGAGGATGAAGACGATGACGAGGATAGTGAAGAGGACTCAGAGGATGATGAGGACATGCAGGACATGGATGAGATGAATGACTACAATGAATCACCTGATGATGGAGAGGTCAATGAGGTAGGCAGGGGAATGGGGGGAGGTCTCTGCTGGGCCCCTGCCCTTGACCTAACTGGTGGCCAAGGGGTACAGAAAACCTGGATCCAGCCAGGAGCAGGATCTGGGACTGGGGCTGGCTGGGTGGCTGAGGCCCCTCCCCACCCACACCCAGCCTTCTCTCCAGGTAGACATGGAAGGCAACGAACAGGATCAGGACCAGTGGATGATCTAGGAAGACAAGGCAGGGTGGCCCCAGGGAGATTCCAGGCCGGCCCAGCCTACCCTGTACCCTCTGCAGAACCAGCTGATCGCCCCAGTGCATGAAAACTCACCCTCAGGCACCGCCTCAGCTGCTGTCAGGACCTGGCCTCCTTGGCCCCTCCGAGGCTGTCAGTCTGCCCTTGAATCCCCAGGGCCTGAGCCCACCCCACCTTTCTGGACAGTATCTGACCCCTTGGTTGCCAGGTGTAGTCTCTTTCTGACTCTCTTTAATAAAGACACAGGACTGATTTTTTCCCTCCATGTCTATTCCCTATTTATTGGTGGTGCCCAGAGGTACCCAGCACCTTCTCTTGAGCTTTGGGGAGAGGGCACTCGGGGTTCAGGCAAACCTACCTGACCATGTGGGCTAGAGCTAGGGAAGGCCAGGTGGAAGGCCTGGGCCTGGGCCCAAGATCCATTGCAGTTTCCTCTGGCACATCTTGCACCAGCCATTCCTGCATGGCCTCTAACTCAGTGTTTATCATTTCTATTGATCCTGCCTGCAGTGGTATGGGTTGGGGAGGGCAGGCATTATGAGCCTCAGAGCTGGGAGGCCACTATCAGCCAGCTTCCTTGATGTTAAGAGAGCGGATTAAGTCTCAGAGCAGGGCAAGGACTCCTCTGGAGTCACCCAGCAAATCAGTGACAGAGCTGGGGTGGGAGCTAGGCCTCTTGCCTGTCAGTTCATGGCTCTCTCTGAAAGGAGGGGGACCAGTGGCGACCAAACAGCCTGACAGAACTTAACGCCTCAGGTGAGTGGGGCAGAGGTGGGAGGAGAGCCTCCCCAGCCCTGAGCCCAGCATGTATCAGGCCACTAGCAGGGAGGGGAAGGGATGTTCTGAGGTCCTTGCTTGGGTGGGTGTGGGGTGGGGCAGCAGTAAGTACCCCTGGGTTTGGACCTCAGCCAGGCCCTGAGTAGGTGAGCTGGGCTATGCCGTCCTTGATGGCAGGGAAGTCTGGGAGGCCAGCATGATGGAGGCGGCAGCGGTAGCGGCCACAGCTCTTGGCGTACTGCAGAAAGCGGGGTGCACCAGGGAAGACCACGTGGTCTGCCAACACAGTGGCACCAGCTGGCAGCAGGGCATGGGCCTCTAGCAGCTGCAGGTCCCGCAGGTAACATCTGGGCCGGTGTGTCAGGAGCACCAAGTCTGCCCGACTCAGCTGGTATTGGGTTCGTAGGCGCGGTATCACCTCCTCTGAGCTACCCACGATGAGCTCCACCTGTGGGGGTGGGAAGAGCTAGAGGTGAGGGTGGGAGGGATTGTTCTCCCACACCAGACCCCAGCAAGACCTGGTTTACGTTATGCCAGGCCCGGGTCTAGGTCTCCACCAGTGTTCTCACATTTCCCCTGGCCTCAGAACCCAAGAAGTCATGATCAGTATTGTGTTCTTTGTTCTGCCAATGAAGAAGCTGAGATTCAGAGGATAAGTGTTTTGTCCAAGGTCACAAAGCTAATAAGAAGCAGACTAAGGTTTGGACCTAAGATTTGCTGGGCTCCAGAGACTTTCCTCCTAACTGCTTCTTTGTCATCTTGCAGCAAATAATTGCAAATGACTTGGAACAGGAGGACAGAAGCTCACACCCTCCAGGATCGCAGTTCCCTAAGTGGAGTTGCTTTCTTCTCCTAAGTGGAATTCTCTCATCGGGGAGGCCTGGCCAGGGGGTGGCAGGGAAAAGACCAGTGTTGGGGAGGTGGGGACTGACCGTGCTCTCATCGAAGCCAGCCAGACGGATGAGTTTTTCAGCCACTGCTGCCGTGCGTGGGTCCCGTTCTACCGTGAGAAGGCGACTCCCAGGGGGCAGGGCACGGGCAATAAACAGTGTGGAGTACCCGCAGTAGGTGCCCAGCTCCAGCATACAAGCAGGGGCCTTCTCTTCCACCAACCGTGTCAGGATCTGACCTATTGGGGGAGATGGCTATTGTAGAAGACATGGGAGATGGATGCAGGCTCCTGATAGAAAGAATCTCAAATACTCACCTGCCTCATTGCAGCCCCCAACCAGTTGGGGTCTTATCTCTCTTGGACTATAGCCCCAGCTACCCCACTGATCCTCCTGCCCCTCCAGACTTGCGTCCTTCAGTCTAGTCTTCACACCAGTCACTAGGAATCTTTCTGACAAATCTAACGCTATCACTCCCTGGTTCTAAGATCCTAAAGGCCTTTGGGATGGAACTTGGGATCCTCAGCCTGACATTCAGCATCTTCTTGGACTGATCCTATCCTACCTTTCCAGTTTCAGCTCTCAGTTTTTCCCATCCGTAGCCTGTACCACAGCCATCCCAAACAACTGTGTCCAGGCTCAGCCATTCTGCCTCATTCCTTCCTGCTACATTAGTATATGTGGCTGGCTTTGCCCTTCCCCACCCCTATCCTCATCTGCCTGGCTAACTTGAAAGTGATCCTTCTAGGCACAGTTCAAATGCTGCTTCCTCCAGGAGGGACCAGACAGAAACAACCACCAGGCTTCTGAGACACCATCTTCCAGGCTCCTGAGAGACCTTTCCTAGAACTTGCAGTTTCATTACCCACCCCGCCTTTTGTTTTTTATTAGCTATCTCTAACTGTGGAATTGGATGAATTTCTTAAATATGTCTCTAAAAGCACTTATTTGTGCTGGGAGCTGGGACTCAGACAAATCCAGGCAGACAGAATCTCTGAATGGGAATGTAAGTGCCATGGTGGGGGAGAAAGACTCAGGCACAGATCAGTACAAAGTTATGGGTTATGTCCTGAGGTGGTTATGCCCCTGTGTATTCTGCCCCCTTTGAAGCCAGCATCTGTGGCTGATTCATCCCTGTGGCCTAGGTCTATCTCCTTCTCCCTCAGCACCCAACGCATGCCTGGTACAAAAGAGGTGGCAATAAATGTTTGCTGGATGGAATAACTGTGCCTAGCCCCCTCATTTCTGGAGAAGAAAAAAGAGACGCACAGAGGATGAAGAACCTGCCCAATTCCACCAGTAAGGCAGTCACAGACCCCAGCTCTTCCTTTACCGTCTTGGGGGTGCTTCCTGGAACAGAAGGCTAGGGAACACTGACCTTTGACAGGCCCCATGTGGCTCAGGTACTCGCAGTGGCTGCTCCAGTGGTCCAGGGTGGTGAGGATGTGACTGGGGTCCCCAGGCAGGGCATGGGTGAGCACATAGCTGAAGGCCCGCTCCTCAATCCGCAGCCCTGACAGGCAATCTCGGAAGCTCCGCAGCAAGACCGCACGCACCAGCAGTCGGAAATGGTGTCGGTACCGCACCAGCAATGTCACCACCAGTGGCAGGAAGGCCAGCGCAATGGCAGGGGACATAGTCCCTACCTGGGCCCTGGGGTAGAAGGAGGCAGGGAGGGAAACCCACACCTGCCATTTGCCTGTCATTTATGCAGCTCTTACTAGTAGTAATTATCCCTATATTTTACAAACTGTGCTCAGAAAGGCTGCCTTTTGTCCAGTCACACAGCAGAACTAGGATTTGAATATCCCAAGGCCATGTACTTGCAAGGACTCCATGCTAAATTCAGAACCCAACCCCAAACCACCTGTTCCCACTTCCAGCTCCTGGTCCCATCTTTACTTTGCTCACTGCACCCGTTTCCTCTCATCGCTGTTGTCACCCTTCTTCAGGACCCCTTTCACCAGTTCCCCTCTGAGATATCCTCCTCTGGTCCTACCCCCTGCCTGCTTGTCTCCTCTGACCCATTACCATGTAACAAAAGAGCACAGCTTTGCAGTCAGAAACCCCTTCACTGTCACTGCTCTGCCTCAGTAAAAGGCGATCAAAACACTCCATAGGGTGTTAGGATGAGATGTCCTTCCCACCCCAGGACTTTCTCTCTGCTCTTTCCCTAAGGGTGAAAAGAGTCCTTGATTCTTTATTTGTTTTCCAGTTCCATCTCCCCTCCCTGCATTCTGCTCTCCTTTTCTCTCTCAGAATTCTCTTCACAAGTGCATGCGTGCACACACACACACACATACAGCACACTTTCTCCTCAGCCCTCTTCCCCCCAGCCCACTGCAAGGGATGATTGCCATCTTCCTCTATGCCCTGGACCCTTGTGAGGCGGCTGGTGGGCTGGGCTAAAACTGAAAATAGGAGTGTGAATAAGTGAGTGATGGTGCGTTTGAACTGGTGTGCTTGGGAACCCACACTCAAGGGCCCTGCTTACCTGGGCTGGAGGCTCCTGCTTGGGGAAGATCGTAGCATAGGACAAGAGGGGAAATCTTTGGGGAGCGGGTGGAGAACCCTGAGGCAGGCTGGACCTTCTCTCAATTATTGATGCTGAGGCTGGTGCTGTCACCTGAGACCTGCAGTTCAAGTTACTAGCCCCAGGGACAAGCTGGAGCTGCCTCCTACCCTTCAGGAGCCCTCACAAAACTCATAGAACTCCAGAGTCTTGATTTGAGGAGTATTAGAGCTGTACTGGGTTTGGTGGCCTCACTTCCAACCCCTTGGATGAGGACATGGGTATGGTGTGAACCAAGGTGTCATGAGCGTCTGCTAGACTCACAGAATGCGCTGCAGTCTCTTCCTGCAAGTCAGAGGGACTAAGCCCCGAGAGATTCTTAGACCCCCAGGATCTACCTGGCACTGACTGAGGACTCTGCGGTAGCCATGGTTTCCAGCAAGAATTAAGGCAAACACACAGGTCTAGTGCCTTTCAACATGTTCATTTATTCACACAGAAAATGCAGTGGAGGAATAGACTCCTTAACATCAAATATCACACCACAATATAATCATAGCAATATGGCCATCAACATAGCAATAACAATTTAGTAAAGTATTTTGATAATGAACTAGTCCAAGAGTCAATCAGAATCCGGTGTGTGGAGTTGCTGGTCCTGGAGCACTGTCTGGCAAAGGTTGGGTCCGAGTCCAAAGAGGAGCGGAGTGTTATCGGAGCAGAGGAGCAGCATGTTCACCTCTCAAGCGAGACTGGCTCACTAACCTGTCAAAGTCCTGGGTTCTTTTTTTTTTTAAGAAATTTTATTGGGGAACAGTGTGTTTTTCCAGGACCCATCAGCTTCACATCAAGTAGTTGTTTCATTCTAGTTGTGGAGGGTGCAGCTCCTTGGCCCATGTGGGAATCGAACAGGCAACCTTGGCGTTATGAGCCTGCACTCTAACCACCTGAGCTAACCGGCCGCCCCAAAGTCCTGGATTCTTAAGGACTTCAGTAGAGCTGTATGATGTCACCTTATCAGTCCTCACAGCTACTTCATGGCCACCTGGTACTTGTTTACCTTTCTAGATTTCTTTACTTCTTTAGACTTGTTTACTTCTGTAGACTTGTCCTATCAGTCCATGCAGTTACTTCATGGCCATCTGGTAGTTGTTTACTTGTACAAACAAGTTGTTCATCTTTGTGAAGAATTCCCACAGCATTCAGTGCCCAAGATGGAGTTACTCTTGCTTATACAAATATCTTATTTTAGGCATTCTACACACAAGGAGATAGGGAGGTTGCAGTTTACTCATTAATTCCAAATTCAAGGTTTCTCTAAGCAAGTACCAGGCCTTGGGTCACAGAGAAGAGTTAGATCCTGTCCCTGTCCTGCAGGAACTCTATGTTTGGTAGAAGAAACTGATGTGGAAACAGAGAATACACTATAATATCTCTAGAACGGATGTTTGATGAATACAGGGACTCTTGGCTGTTTTGTGAACTGCTACATATTCAGATAGAACAGTGTGTGACACATTGCAGATACTCACTAAATATTTGATTCAATAAATGAATAGGGATTAAGCTCAGGGAGCTGGAGATGCTCAGAGAATGGAGTCAGAGAAGGCAATCAGGAGGATATTGTTATTATCTTGAAGACAGCAGGCAGATGTGGGGAGGGAGACTGCCAGGCCACATGTGCAAAGTCCAGGAGGTCAAGAAACTGCAAGCATTTCCCTATGGTTGGTGAAGTATTCCGCCAGTTTCTCCAATACCAACACCACCACTTCCTTTTGGGCCTGGAGTGGGAGGCAGGCGTTAGGATCTGCATCCTGAATGACAGACTTGGATCTGTGTTCAGGGTTCAAGGGAAGACATAGGATGGTTCTAAGTAAAGAGGACAGATGGTGAGCATTGTGTGTTGATTACAAAGACAGTAATGAAGAGAAATAGCTGAGTGCAAGATCAGTGAGGTGGCCTCTATCTTCTCTACGAGGATTGAGCTCCGTTTCGCTTTGGCTTGCGAAGGTATACAGTCCCTTCTTCCAGTAAGTGTCAGATCCCAGTCCAAGTTGAGAAAAAAGAACTCTGTTGGGCATCACAACCTTCTATGTGCCTCTCCAACCCCGACTTGGCGCTGGGCAACTGGGGCCTATGGGTGTGCATCCCACTCGCCCCTTGCTTGGCATCTAGAAGAGTATATCATGGCGGCACTTGGTATGAGTTCGCTCACCGGCCCACAAAGATGCCTAGCGGCCACGCAACCAAATAACGCAACTCACACTACGGCCTCTATGGCCTGCAGCAAAGAACTGGAGCTCACAGACTTAAGGCTGAAGTCATGTGATTCGCTCCTCCCTTTCTTTGCCTCACGTGTCTCCCTCTTGTTATGCTACGAGCGCCTTCCCATTGGTTGGAGATGATCACGGGGGTAGGGGCGTAACCGGAAGCCGGGGTTTCGGCGGCTTCGAGGCGGCCCTGGGAAGGGATAGTTGTGGGGGCGGGTGATTACTTGCTGATTGCCTCCACGGGTCATGTGACCGGAAGGGCTCGTGACGGACGCTGTCCCTCCTCCGCGCGGCCTGAGCGCCCGGCCCGACCCCGGCCATGGGGTGCTGCTACAGCAGCGAGAACGAGGACTTGGACCAGGTGCGGCCGCGGCGGGTGGGGCTCGGGAATGAGGGCTGAGACCGTGGGGCATGGGGCCCACAAAAAAGCCTGCAGGCGAAGGGGAGCCGGATAGCAGGGCTCACTGAGTACGGAGGCCCGGAGGGGACAGATTACAGTGGAGACGCCGGGCCAGGCTTCCACTCTTATTAAAGCCCCAGTTCTCGCTGCACAGTCCCCGCGTTGGGGTATGCAGGCAGTCGCCTATTCTACTCGCTCCCACCCCTTCCACCTCTTTTTACCTTCAAACCTTCAAGGACCCTCAGCCTAGGTCCCTGGGAAGCACTCCCTTCCTAGCTCCCTGTGTGTGTTAGCGGGCTTTGTGAATCCATTGTAGATGTGGGTAAACTGGGGCTCTGAGTGAGTTAGTCCCAAGATGAGTCAGGAATCTGTGTATCCTCTCAGCCCCAGGGGTTGGAGAAGAAAGGTCACTGCTGATCTGGGGTCAGAGAAGGCCTCTGGAAGTTGGTAGCATTTGAGTTGGTCAGTGAAGGATTTAATAGACACAGTGAGGACATTGGGATGTATAGGAAGTTGGGAGGCAACAAATCGGATTTAGCTTCAGCTGGTTTGGTGGTTTGGCTTGCCTAAGTGCAGTCCATGCCTGGGGCCTGAGGGTTCCTCTAGCTGGAGGGGTGCTTGCTTGCCCTGGGAATTTGGCTCTAGATCTTATCCCTTTGCACAAATTAGACTGGTGAAACCTGTACAGTTTTAAATTCTCCCTCTTCCTCTTGGTGCATTCTCTTCTCAACACACTTTAATCCTGGCCCTGACCACCTGACCTCCTTTGAGGAGAGAGCCCTTTCCAAAGATGAAGTCTTAGGCTGTTGGCCACTCACCTTTTTGATCACCTCTATGCCTGGATTCCACATTTTAACACATACTAGACACAGAGACAGGAGAAAGATTTCAGCAAGTAGCCCACAATCTGGTGGGGGTGGGAGTGGGGGTTTGATGGACACACAAATGGATTATATACTGGTACTTGGGAGAATGTCTTTCCCCAGTGACTCACATAAACCTGATTTGGGTTAAGGTCGTAAACTTGAGAAAATGTCATTTGTATGGGAGGCATGGGTGGCTCTTGGGCCTCATTAATTCACCAAACACCCAATGAACACATACTCCTATTTTCGGTGCCTTATGTTAGGCATGCCTCATAGCCAGTACTTTTCACTTCACCGCAGCCTGTTAGAGAAGGAGACAGTATCCCAGCCTACTGGGAAAGCTGTGACCCAGTGCAAAGTTGTCCCTTAAAGCATAATATGGACTCTTGCAGGGAATGAGTCAAGGGTTAATGTCTGCCTTGTGAGAAAGGATACCAGCTTGTGGCTGGAAGAGCTGAGCTTGCTGCTGCTCTGAATTCCACCTTCCCTTTAACGGGCTCTCACTTCTGTTTCTAACCCCTTGGGACCGTGCTTGATCAGTGCTGAGTGATTTGAGGCCTCGTGTGACAGAAGTCTACTTACCTGGTCTACAAGCCATAACCATTCACTATCCCAAAGCCCCTTTTTGAGCTCTTGGGCAGGCCCCCTCCCCATCTCTGTCCCTTTGTTATAAGAAATGCACAACACATTCCAATGTTCAAAGGCCTTTTATAGTTATCTAACTTGACTCTTGCCAAACATCTGTCATTTAAGTACAGGTTATATCTATTTAAAGGCGAGAAAAAAGTTCAGAGAGGCTAAGTGACTTAGCAAAGGTTACAAAAGCTGAGAAGTGCCACCGCCAAGGTGTTTTGATGCCAAGCCGTGTATTCTGTCCATTGGACCAAGCTTTTTCTTCCAGCTGTGTCCATAGACCAGATGGCTAGTCATGGGCAGGCCACATATATGTGTATGCTACTGTAGACAGTGAAACTCTGACTCTTGGGTTGACACTGACTTAGGGACCAACCTTGGTGTGAAAAACCTCCCCCATGCTCCACTCGCCCTTTGGGGGTGAGGTGATGTCATGTGTCCTCTCTGATGGGAGTAGTATGGCCTCTTCCAGGAGTCTAGGTCTCAGGAATACAACCTTGTTCTTGAAGAATCCCTGATAGGGGAGAAATTGTCCTGTCCTGCAGGAAGACCTGTCTGAAGTGGAGAGGAGGAAGGATAGACACATAGGAAGCAAACTCAGCCTTCATCATGGAGCCAGCTTTCCTTAGAGATTCTTAGAGATAGTTTAATCTTTGGCAAACATATTGTCTTTCTAGCTCTTTATTAGTCTGTGTTTTAGGGGGGTGTCTAGAAGGTGGGAGGTGATGGGACAGAAGCTATTTCCTGCTGCTGTGAACTGAGGACACTTGGGCAACCTATGATTGAGAAGGAAGAGTCATGCGACAAGGCTGGGCCTGCCTAGGGTGGGGCAGGCAGAGCAGAAGGAAGTGGCCATCTACTAGGAGAGCTGTGGAGTTGTGGGCAGGGGAGCTGGGAGCTGCAGTGGGAAAGTCTGTGGTAGGAACTGAGATAAGTCTGGAGAGGAGCACTGAAGAATCTGGTGGTCTGGCGCTGACGGTTGGTCAGTTAGCATTAGCCAGAATGGGCTTTGTCCATCCTGTTCTTGGCTTTGTCCTGGGACCCTCGCTCTTCATGGCTTGGATAGATACCCAGCAGGTCTGCTTACCCAATTTGCAGCTGACACAAACCCAGCAGGGATTTGCAGCAGGTGGCCTCAAGGCAAGGTCATATCCAGAAAGACAGCAGATTATAACAAGGGTCTAAACCAGGCAAGCAGAAATACACACAGAAATATACAGGACCAGGGAGACTTTGTTTGGCCCCAGGTCAGTTCTGGGGGTTGTGATTATCAGCGTAGACTAGTAGTAACGGCTGCTGAACATCAATGAAACACACTAATAGAGATGCGGTGACTTTGCAAGGGAGGGAACAGCTCCACTGTTCAGTTCAGGTCACGGTACACCAGGTGTACCAAATTTGGTTCTGGGAGTCCCATACAAAGAAGAGGAAGGTGAACACCTGAGAGGAGAAGTGACCTGCACTCAAGAAGCGAGCACACTTGGACTGTGTGACTTACCAGAGGGGCTGAGACTCCAACCCTGAAATAATATGAGGAATGCCCATTGAGAGGTTGGCCTTGCTTTTCCTTGGGGCCTAGGGCCTTGTCTGGCCTCACAGGGCCTCTCTATCCTGGAAACAGACAGCCTTGCTGGGGTGGGCCTGGTCTAGGGGACCAGGAAGGCCATTCTTGGGCTCCTGACTTGCATCAGTTTCCCCTCTAGACCCTACTGTTTTGGCAGTTTCCACCTCCTCTGGCTTCCAGCCTCCAATATTCTGTCTCCGTAAGGTGCTGAACTACTTGCTGAACCTCCAGGGCTGTTACCTCCTTTGTGCCTCTGGCCATATTTTCAGGGCCTCTACGACTGTTTGGTTCCACTTTAATTCATCCTGGATCACCAGCTGAGCTGAGCTCCCAAGGGCAGGCAGGAATGGAGTCGTATCTGACATTCCATATAGTTGGGAACTTGGGGTATTCCCAATAAAAATATTTTTGGTGCTTAAAAGTCAGAGTTGGGCTGAGAGGAGAGCCCAAGAAAGGCAGGTTGGATGAAGGGCCCCAGGGCTGACTTCTCCCTAATGGCCTCTCCTAGGAAAGAGAGGAACGGAAGCTGCTACTGGACCCTAGCAGCCCCCCCACCAAAGCCCTCAATGGAGCTGAGCCCAACTACCACAGCCTGCCTTCTGCTCGCACAGATGAGCAGGCCCTGCTCTCCTCCATTCTTGCCAAGACAGCCAGGTGAGCATCACAGGACCAGGCCTGGGACAGAGCTCCTCCATCTAGGTTAAAGGCTGAAATAGAGGAAGCTGGCCCAGGACATGGGGGATGGGACAAGGCCAGCGGGGAGAGGTGCCTCTGGGCCCAGCCCTGCTCCATTGGGCAGGTGTGGACACTGGTGTTAGATAACCCTGGGCTGGTGTCTGGCAGTGAGTCCTGTTAGTCCTTGGAAGTACCTGTCATATCCTCTCTGCCTCTTCTCCCCAAAGCAACATCATCGATGTGTCTGCTGCAGACTCCCAGGGCATGGAGCAGCATGAATACATGGACCGGGCAAGGCAGTACAGGTGAGCACCTGGCCAGTTTGGGCCTTTTGGGCTACTTGGGCTCCTCCCCTCCCCTCTATCCCTGATCCAGCTGTGGAGCCTGGACCCTAGTCCAGGCTCAATTTGGGTGCAGCCCAGGAGACTGATCTCAAATCTCTGGTGTGCCTCAGTAGCTGTTCATGTCAACCCTGTTTGTCCCATGACACTCAAGGGTGTGGTGGTGGGGGTAGGGAGGGCAGAGGTAGGGCAAGGGAGGTAGGCCTGGAGTGAGTTTTTGGTGAGCTGAAGACCCATCACCCTGTTTCTCTGGTCTGAGGGAGGCTTGCCTGGGCTGGACAGGGCAGGGCAGACTGTGGCCTGACTACCCAGTGAACCCTTCCCTCTCTGCCAGCACCCGCTTGGCTGTGTTGAGCAGCAGCCTGACCCATTGGAAGAAGCTGCCGCCACTGCCGTCTCTCACCAGCCAGCCCCACCAAGTGCTGGCCAGCGAACCCATCCCCTTCTCCGACTTGCAGCAGGTGAGCCACACCTCGCCCTGCCCACCCACCCAGCTACAACTGTCCAGGCTATGGCAGAGGGGCCACCCTCCCTGCCTCAGAGGAGGCAGGGAAGTGGAGTTGCCCTGGTAGCTTGTGGCCCTTCTCACTCCCATCACTCTCTTTTTATCTCCCTCGTATCTTCTCCCTTTCACCTTTATTCTTTTTATCCCCTTTGTTCTTCTCCTTCGGTCTTTCCCATCCTTGCCTTTCTCTTTGGCTTCCTGTCCCCCATCATTCCCTCCTCTCTGGCCATCCAATCCTCCTCCCCTGGTTTCTGGATCTCCCTTCTTACTTGTCTCTCTGTTCCTCTCCTCCCCGGTCCCTCTGTCTCAGGTCTCCAGGATAGCTGCTTATGCCTACAGTGCACTTTCTCAGATCCGTGTGGACGCGAAAGAGGAGCTGGTTGTACAGTTTGGGATTCCATGAAGACAGGGGTCCTTGGACAGCTCTTCTTCTCCTCTCTTCACCCCGTCTCCACCCTGCCTTCCCTGGCCCCCAGCCTCACTGCGGCTTATACAGTACCCTAACCTGCTACTAAACACAGAGAAGAATGTGGAGGAGGAGAAGAAGAGCAAGGCTAGAAGCCAGAGCAAGTGAGGATGGAGCAAGGGAGGGTAGAACCATTTGGGACTGGCCGTTGAAGCCCTGGCCAGGGGTCGGGTGGGGGTCAAAAGGACAGGGCCTGGTCGGTCTTCACTCTCACTGGGAAGCTGGAGGTACCACTGTGAGGGTGATCACTCGGGGGCCTGTGGAGGCCCCCTTCCCACTCTTCTCTTGGCCTCACTCCTGTGCCCCTCTCTCCCTGACTTGGTGCTCACATGCACCTCACTAGGGTTTGTGACCAGTGTCTGGACGAGCTTAAATTTGAATGAATTGAGCTTGTATTTCTAGCACCCTGGGTTTTTACATGTTTGGGGTTTTTTTTTGTTTTTTGTTTTGTTTTGTTTTGTCTCCCTCGATAAAGGAAATGTATTCATTTGTGCTGGTTCCAGCCCCTCTGTCCTGCCTACCACCCTACTGCTTCTGGTTCCTCAAGTCTATGAGCAGTGATAAGACTGCTTGTCCCTTCTCCAGTGATGGGAACACTGTTAAAGCTGAACAGACTTGAATCTGAGGCAACTGTCATTGTTGAAGGTCTTGCCTCAGGCTCAGTGGAATTATTAAGAAGCCCAGGAGGGATTGGTGATGGTGGTGCTGACAGACCAGGAGTACCTGATATGGAGTCAGCAAGCCAATGCTTTCAAACAGAAGATTCTTTTTATCAAATGAAATCTCAAGCAGAATCCCAACATATAAAACAATAGTGGAACTACTCTAATCTGATTGAAAGGGGGGCTCAGAGATCACGGCCTATCTTCTTGGCTTCCTATTATAGAGGCCCCTGAAGCATCTCCACAGAACCTGGGTGCTCTGTGAAGTAACTCTAACCCTAGGATATCTGAGCTAAAGAGTTAAAAAAAAAGGGCCCAGAGTTTAAATAAGTTTCCCAAGGCCATGCAGTGAACCAGGTCTTCTGCGTCCCAGGCCAACAGGCCTTTCCCTCTATTGCCAACCTTTCAGTGAAGTAAGACAGAGCTACTGGCAATTGCGGGGTATTTTTACATGATACAAGTGACTTCCAATTTGCTGAACTGCTCAACTTCTTTATTTTTAAACCAGACTGGCCATCCTCAGGCCCTCAGGAAAGCTGGGGGTCCTGGGAACCTCAGAGTGCATCCTGCTTGATCCGGACTTTCTTGGGCTTGATGTTCATGCGTTTCCACACTTCAGCTGTGGTACGGTCTGCTTTGGTGATCCCACTGAAGTCAAACGTGGTGATACGGGGCAGGGTGCACAGTACATACTGCCTGTGAGGAAGACTCAGGCTGGGGGCCATCCCCCTCACTATTCTCCTCCCCCTCACCACCCCCCAACCAGCTGCTGCTATTTCCTCTGACTGTAGGAATGGAGGGACTTGAGTATAGTTTGGGGGAGACTGAGTTTGTCCTAACAGCAAGAAATGCCTAATGGTCTCTACTGCTTTCCCTGGCCGAAACATGGCAGAAGGATAATGTCTCCCCTCCTCCTTTCCCTCAGGGGAGCCCACCTTCAGGGCAGGGCACTTACCTATACCCCTTCTCTTCCTCTATGGGGTTCCCATGGAGTGTTAGGCTCCGGAGCCGAGGGAGGATGGCCAGCTTATTCACCTCTCCCAGGCGATGGATGCTGTTGCCATGGAGGTAGAGGACACTCAGATTGAATAAAGTTGTGAGGACCTATTGGGGGAAAAAACAAAAGACAGGCTGGACAGGGCTTTGGATCTATGCTCAGGACTGACTGCAGGGCAGAGAAGGAAGAGTTTGGGGAACATCTTGTTCTGCACTCCCCCTCCACCCTCCTTCCCCAGCCATACTGATGACTCCAACCTACTTTCATTTACCTTTGAAGGGGTACAGGGGCATCCCATGACATAAAGCGATGATCTGAGGGGCAGGAGGTATGGACCTGGGTCCTAGCACTGCCACTGGTTTGCCAAGTGACTGCGCTCTCCTGCCTCTCCCTGAGCCTTAGCTGCCCATTCACTGAAGACCTTTCCAGCTTTGGTGATCTAAGATTCCATCACAGCAAGTGACAGGGATACAGAGCATCATGCTAGTACATAAGAGAAGCTTTTAAAACAGTAGTGAAATTGAAATCACTCAATCCAGGAAACAGTTGTCAAGTTGTGCTCTAACTCCTTCCCCCACTAACGGATCCTGGACAAAAAGGGACTGGTTTTATTTATTTCTCAAAACATGAGTCTGAGTTCATGGAAAGTGCTGTACTTTTACTACCTACCTCTTCCAAAAACTTAGTAGAAGGCACAGAGGGTGCCTGATAATGAGAGCTACAATTTTACTTCAGCCTCTCCTATGTGCTGGTTGATTTTCATACAAGGTATGATCAAACAATATGATGAATGTTTAAGTAAAAAAAAATTTTATTACACTAAAAGACACATTGCCATTAATCCTCCTCACAGTACTCCCCCTTTCAACGAACACACTTATCCCATCGATCTTGCCACTTTCTGAAGGAGTTCTGGAATTCCTCTTTCATGAGTGTCTTTATTTGCACTGTGGTGGCTGCCTCGATGTCCTGAATCCTTTTGACTGGGGAAGAGCCAGAAGTCACATGGTGCCAGATCCAATGAATAAGGTGGATGAGGACACACTGTAATGTTTTTATTTGACAGAAATTTCCATACCAGAAGCCATGTGTGACACGGAGGCTTTCCATTGTGATCAAAAACTACGGTGAATGGCTGCTGCCAAGTGCCATCCAATGGAAAGGCAAGGATCTTCAGGAAGTGGCACATCAAACCTTAGCAACAGTGTGACAAGTTTCAGCTAGTTTGGTGCAGACAGTTGGATGTGAGCTATAGTTCAGATGTGTGTTTGAAAGTGTGCCATAAATCATGGATTACGAATGACGCATTAACATGAAATGGGCAAACAGTTTCATTTTCCATCATGACACTGCTGTCTGTCACACATTGCTTCTGGTACAGCAATTTCTGTCAAATAAAAACATTATGGTGTGTCCTCATCCACCTTATTCACTGGATCTAGCACCATGCAACTTCTGCCTCTTCCCCAAAGTCAAAACAACCATGAAAGGTAAACGTTTTGAATCAATTCAGGACATTGAGGCAGCCATGACAGTGCAACTAAAGACGAAAGAGGACTTCCAGAACTGCTTCAGAAAGTGGCAAAATCGATGGGATAAGTGTGTTTGAAGCAAGGGCAAGAATTTTGAAGATGATTAATGGCAATGTGTCTTTTACTGTAATAAAATTTTTAAAAATATAAACATTCACGTATTTTTTGATCACGCCACATGCATTTTCATTTAATCCTCACAAAACCTTTATGATGTTGGTATAGTATCCCCATTTTTCAGACAGGGAGCCTGAGGTTTTGGAGGGGTTAGATAGGTTGCCCAAAGTCATACAGTAAGGGGCAAATCTAGGATTTGAACCTACATCTCTCTTGAGTTGACAGGTGTGTGCTTTGCACACGGTACCATGCTGCCTCAACTTCCTTGATGACGTGGGAGGTGTAGAGGCTGGGGGCTGGACAAGGTAGCTTCTGGCCCATCCTGACTGGACTCATAGGGCTGGGGACTCACAGGGTCAATGGAAGTCAGGTCGTTAAAGGACAGGTCAATCCAGGCCAGGTTCTCTGGATACTCCAGCAGTTGTGAAATCACATGGTTGAAGTCTCTCAGCTCATTGAGGACATTGTTGTTCAGCCACAGGGACTGGGTTAGTGACTTCCCCGACTTCGAGTGCCTTAGTGGTCGTAGCCCTGTCCTTGGCTCCTCACTTATCAGATCTGTGGGAACAAGGTGAGGCCTGGGTATATCATCATTGTCTTTCTGGCTCTGGGGGATGGGAAGGGTCAGAGCTGGGAGGATATGCAGCCTAAGCTGTAGCTGGAAGGGCTGCCAGGGCCACAGCCCCATTTTTTACTCTGATGCGCCTCTATCCACTGTCAGCTCAAGACTCCCATTCCATAGGCCCCAGCAGTCAGAGGAAGCTTGGACTAAGGGCCAAAGACTTCCCATCCCAAACTCGTGGTTTGGGTCACATGTTCCTGTCATGTCTATTGTGTCCTTGGGTCCCTGTGTAATATCACTGTGTGTGTGTTGGCGGGGAAGGGGCAAAACCACTCCCATTTTATAGATGAGGAAACTAAGAACCAGAGTTTCTTAGTTTGAACCAAGATGATGATAGCACAAAATTGAGTATTATTCACTAGTAGAGCCTATAGAATTCACTTCGGTGTAACACACTCTGATGTCCTCTCATCCACTAATATTGAACTATTGTATACTGTGTGCCAGATACTGGATATACAATGGTGAACACAATGAGAGACAGTCTGTACCAAGCTCTGTATGAGTAAGAGGGCAGGGATGAAGTTTGTGTCTTGGAGGAGCTCACATGGACAAGATGAAAACAAACTGGCAATTAGTGTAATAAATACTATATAAGTTGTAGAAATAGAAGAGGGGTTCCTAACCCAGTCTGGATCTCAGGGAAGTTGCCCAGAAAAGGTAAAGCCTGAGCTGGGTCTCGGTAGATTAGGGGACGTAAACCAGGCAAAGAGGGTGGAAAAGGTGTGAAGAGCATGAGCAAAGGCATAGAGGTATGTAACAGCATGCGTGCACATGTATGTGCTGCACAGGGGGGCATGGTTGACTGGATGTGAGGGTAGAATAATATTCAAGGGTGGTGCCAGATCTGTGAAGTGATACAGAATTAAGAAAAGGAGAAACATGGTTGGGCAGGTGATGAGTTCAGACTTAGCTTTGGTGTGTCTGAGGTTCCTATAGTACAAAAAGGCGGAGAAGCCAAGTAGGCAATTGGATATGAAGGTGTGAAGTTCAGAAGATGCAGACTTAAGAATCATTAGCATAGAGGGTATATAAGGTAGAGAAACATGAGGTTCCTCAAGGATAGTGAGAGTAGAGAGGAGGTACAAGGAAGAAGGGGAGTCTACTAAAGAAATTACTGAGGGCCGGCCAAGTGGCTCAGCTGCTTAAGAGCTCACTCAAGAGTGTGAGCTCTGAGGAACAGCGGTTCTATGCCTGGCCTGAGCTGAGCTGCCAACAAGTGGCAGGATGGCTCAGCTAAAAAAAGAAAGAAAGAAAGAAAGAAATTACTGAATAATCTGGGAAGGACAGGGAGAACCAGGAGAGGATAGGTTGTTTTGTTTTTTTTTTGAGAGGTAGAGAAGCAAAGATTTTTACTGAAGCAAAAGTACAGCTCTCTTATGAGAGGGGGTACCCGAAACTGGGATGCCCCCAGGAGAGGATAGTTTTAAGACGCACAGGGAGTCCATAGTTTATAGGAGTGAGTTTCACGGAGATAAGGATTGAAAAGTAATTTTGGCAACTCAGAAGTCCCTGGTGACTTTGGTGAGGGCTGTTTTCATGAAATGGCAAAGCCCTGGGGACAGAAGTTAGACTGGAGTGAGTTTAAGGGTGAATGGAAAGTAGGGAAATATAAGCAGTTAGCGTAAGCAACACCCTTGTTTAGGTGAGGAGGAGGACAGGGAACAGAGTGATGTTCGAACCCATCTGTATGGATAACCCTACCTCCTCTTTTTTTTTTTTTAACAAATGAGTTCTGGAGAGAGGATGGGCTCTGCCCAAGCTCAGGGTGGCAGAGCCAGAACCAGACACCAGCTCTGGCTGAGGTGACTATATTTTTCCCTATTGCCCATATGCCTTTGGCTGCTTGTCGAAAGCTGCCTCTAGGGAAGGAAATATTTCGTATTTGCTGAATCTGGCCAGCTTGTCTTCATCCTCCCCTCAGCTCTAACTGGACACACTTCCTCTCTTCCACCCACACCCAACATTCATTTCCTCCTCCTCAGCTGCAGATCAGGCAGCATCCACCAGATGGCTCTCTTAGTCCTAGAGTGAGCAGAACCCACAGTTGGAATGGGTGGTGGTGGTGGTGGTGGTGGGGGCTGGGGAGGGACGGGGAGGCAGGTGACAGAATGGTACCGGAGCACGCCTAGCTCCCCTCAGATGACTCCAGGGCACTGCATTGCCTGAGGTGCTGTCAAAGCTTCCTTGTTCAGAGTAGGCCAGAGCAGGTCTGGAAACTGGACCACAAATACCAACACTCAGAGAACTGGAGGTTGTCTAGCTCCAGGTAGATCTGCGGAAAACCTGATTCTTCTTCATATCTCTGAAGGGTTGCCATGCAACTTTTTCTTTGTGTCCCCAGAGGGCAGGAGTTAGTTTGAAGAACTTCCCTGTATCATTGAAGAACTTCCTTGTGTTAGTCCTCACCCCATAATGGAAGGGGCTGGTAGGTGTGTGTGATAGAGGACTCCCCCGCTTCACACTGCAGGTTTGTGAGGAGTTAGAGGACTGGGTTAGAGGTAGTACAGACTGGATGCCTTCTGAAGTCACGACCATTTCAGATTCTATGATCCATCTATTGATTAATTCAGCAAATAGTATACCAAGTATCCCCAAACTCTACCTTGTCCTCTAACCCCAACTTTAAGTAAGTGTTCCATAAGCTCTGGGGAACCTGAGGAGACTGGCCTTTTGGGGCTTAGATGTGCCTCTATCTCTCCCCTCCCAACACTCAGCAAGGAGCACAATGCCTGGTATATATGTATACACACATATACATACATATATATGCACTTAATAGGTGTTCAATAAACAGTCGAAGGACAAGGCATCTATACTGATTATGTTTTGTGTTGTGGAGTTATCCTTGGTGGTAGTAGCTTGTACCCTCATTCTGAGGACTTCAGAGTGGGTAAACTATTGTACATCTCCCTGCTCAGAGCAGGGAATTCCCAGGGTAGGTAGGAGCCATACTTCCCTTCCTCCTCTGTCACCTTAGCTATCTTGTATGTAGCCATTCTTGCAGCTAAAACTCTTGTGAAACATGGACTACATCAATCAGAAGTGATGCTGTGCATAATAAATAAAGGTCACAGTAGGTGGGTGTGTGCTCAAGAAAGAACAAACAGGAGTTACTGTTGGGGCTGATGCTAACCTACATCATACCCTAAACCCAAATCCAAGTAGTATCCAGGACCCTGGACAACTATTCACCTGCTTCCTGAACTTAAAGGTGGCCAGCAATTGCCTAAAAGAGAAAACCAAAGCCAGATAATGCGTCTAGGATATGTTGATGCCAACCTGTGTTCCGTGAGGGTAGATAATAAAAGCCAGGGACAGCATAACTTCCCTGACAAGAATTATATTCCCTCAAGAATATGATATTGCTGAGAGTCCTCCCCTCCTGAGAAGTCCTAGTTGCCCGTTTACAAAGACACTGAATGATAAAATGGGAATTAGCGTGGGCAGTGCTGGAACCTGCGATAAGTGTGGGTGATGATGGAATAAATTGGATATGACTGGAATGAATATAAAATGTCAATAAATATTTAAACTGGAAGCATGCCAGTTTGTTACTAACAAGACCCTGCATGTTTTACCAACGATCAAAATAGTCTTGTATCCTCGGGCAGAGGAGATATGGGTCTGCATGTTCGCCAGAACTTGGCAGGAGGCTGTTTTCCTTTCATTAATTTCTTCCTCTCTCCAGGTAAAAACAGGAGAATAAAATTACTGGCTGACAGACAGGCTTCCCAGTTTTCTTCCGCCTGCCTTTCCTGCTGTAGCCTGTCTTCTTTTGAAGATGATCAGTTACCCTGAGAGCACCCTGGTTCCTTTCAGATTTGGTGCTGAAAGGCCAAACCCTTCTACTCCCACTTCCCTACCCTCTACTCCTCCCAGAAAAGACAACAAAACCCTCTGCAAGCATATGGGAAGAATCTCTTCAGGCTTTTAAGAAGACTGGTTTCTCCCTAGGGACCACACCTGGCCTGCTGCCATGGTAAGTGGAGTGCTGTGTTCTGTAGGCTGACCTTGAATCACAGGGATGCTTCGGAAGGAGTAGTCAAGAGGGGGCTCCTGCACCCAAGTGTTCATGTAGTCCTGTTTGCTCATAGCTCAGGCCATCATTTGTCAGGTGTAAGCGTGGGCCCTGGGAGTCCGGGTTCAGCCTGGGAGGACAGAGAAGGACTGGTGTTCCAGGTACAAGGGGCATAGGCCCTCAGGTTTCCCAATAGCCATCCACCCCTGCTTTCTACCCTCCACTACTCCAGGCTTGCCCAGCTGCATTTCTATTTTAAGACACTAATGATTCCTTGCAATTGTAGGGTAGGGCACTTCCTACTTCTCAGAACACCCACAGATACCTTAGAGCTAGGTCACTGATAGTTAAAACACCCATTTCTACTTTTCAGATGAAGAAACTGAGACCCCCAAGATGAAAGCACTTGCCCAAAGTTAAGCCAGTGAGTCAGTTATGGAGTGCAGTCAGTCTCCTGAATCCTACTGAGGCCCTTTCTGCTACTCCACAGTAGTTACCATGGAGGCTGTCTCAGTACCTACCCTCTGGTGACATCAACTGGGGTAGTCTATTGCTTAACAGACTCTTGAGGGCATGCACTGGATCCGGTATCTGACAGCCTTCTGCAGTCTTACCTAGCTGGGGATTTGCTGCCTTCTCTGCTCAACTTGTCTGTCAGACCCGTTGCCTTTCCATCCAAAGACCCTACTTTCAGCCACATCCTGAATGTAGTCATAAGTATATGAACACATCTAAAACCAGAATCTACCTCACTCTCACTCACCTGTCACTGATGCCTGAAACGCCACCATTATGGATTCATTCCTTTGGATCAGGGACTGTTCCCTGTTAAAACGGAAATATCCCTTGAGAGGGGTGAACACAGTATTATCAGACATTTACAATGTGGTGTGAATTGTCTTATCAGATCCTTTCCAATGTGTTGGCTCAAGTAAAGCTGATAACTTTTCAAGAGACTGGGCACAGCCATGAGAACACAACTCACCTGGGAAGAACAGCTGAAAACACTACCCAGGGGTTATGTATGTGACACAAACAACAAATGGATTGGCAAGGACAAGTGTATATCCCAGTCAACCTCCCCTTTCTCACTCTATCCAATGCTATCACCTCCATTGCATTTACTACTTCACCTGCTGTCCAAAGGGATTTGAGGTAGTACAGTAACACTCAAAATAGGATGATTTGTAGAACAGAACTGTCCAACAGAAATATAATGAACGGCACAAATGCAAGTCACATAAATAATTTTTTTCACATATATAATTTAAAATTTTATAGTAGCCATAAAATGTCAAAAGAAACAGTAAAGTTTAATATTTTATTTAACCCAATAGAATATATCCAAAATGTCACTCAACATATCACCAATATTAAAAATGGAAATATTTTACACTTATAGCACATTCCATTTTGGACAGGCTACATGTCAAGTGCTCAATAGCCACATGTGACTAGAGACTATAAAATGTTTAAGGGCAGATTTTTACCATTAGTCTTCTTGGCCATCAGAGAACCTCAGTGCAGTTCCTAAATCTTCTGATTTTGTGTAGCACCAGCTTCTGATGCATTTTTCTGGGTGAGTTAGTATTAAAAATGGAGCCCTAAGTATTTGGATAAATTTGCCAGTTGGAAAGCGTTATTAGTCTTCTTCATTTAAACAGTAGCCCAGGCTGTGTAACTAGTATTGTGTCTTATTTATCATCTATAATAACAGAACCTGGCTTACAGAAGGTACTCAGCAAATGTTTGTGAGAGGAATGAATGAGAAACTGCCAAATACAAGGATTTCTGTTTAGGGAGTGTTGATGCTAAGCTGCTCATTCTATTGGCTTTGAGGTTCAGCTGTTGCAGTCCACACCTTATTCACAGTAAGATATTCAATTCAATTCTGCAAACATTTGTTGAGTGCCTGCTGCCCTGTGCCTGACCAGAAGGGATGAAGCCAAAATACAAATAATAGAACCCTGTCTGTCATGAGCACAGAAAAGCCTGCTGGGTTTCTTTTGGTTGTGGTAAACCCGCCTGTATCCAGTTCTAAGAAACAGTTGCCTACTTAGTGAAGACTCTCATGTTACAATACTCAGCTCTAGTATTCCCTCTTGGATGAAGAATTTTTTTCCAGATAAAATTGATCAGTGTGTCCTGTGTTAGATTCTTTTAATCCCTATTCATGGTCTCCGTTTCCATCCCTTTTGCCCTGTAACTTTTAGTTCCATCCACTCTGATGCTGGGCTTGGCCATGTGAGTTGCTTTGGCCAATGGGATGTTGGTAAACATGAAGCAAACAGAAGCTTAAGAGAGGGCTTGCCCCCTTGCTATTTGCCAGTGCCAAGAGAACATGGCTAGCCTACTGGAGGGATATGAGGAACATGTGCAGGTGATAGGTGAAAGAGAGCCAGTGATCCCAGCTGAGACCATCCTAGACTAGCCTAATAGCCAGCCTACCCCAGGTCAAGGTCAGGAGAATCACCCAACCCACAGGTGACTGCAGACACATGAGTGAGCCTTGCCAAGGCCATAAGAAACATATGGCTGATGCAGAGACTTGAAAGAAATAATAAGTGCTTATTGTTTTAAGCCACTATATTTTTGGATGCTTTTTTTTATACAGCAGTAGCTAAACTAATAGATGCCCCCCACTGTACTTTAAACAAAATTTTACCACAGCCTGTTTCTTCATCTGTAAAATGGAGAAAAACTCCATCTTGAGAGCTGTTGTATGTCCTGCAGCACGTGCTCAATAAATTGAAGCAACTGTGCACTCTGTACTCATTTCTTTGTAACCTACTTCCCATTCCCTTCCTGTATGCTTGAGGACTTTCTCACTTCCCACCATTCCCCTACAGTGAGCTTGGCAAAGAATGTGTATTCACTAAAGGCTTGATGGATAAGTGGAAAAATGAAAGAGGAAACAAAGGAATAAATGAACAGTGTGTCTTCAAGGTGTCACATAGTGAGCCTGACTGCTGGGGAGAACTGACAAAGCCGTAGGCTGCCTTGCTTATTCTGGTGGCTGTATTTTTGGATTCAGTCTTTCCCAGCTGCTATTCTGCCTCATGACCAGGAACTAGTCAGATCCTGGCCACCTTCCTCATCTGTCCAGGCCGAATGACTTGAATGACAGGGTTAGGGGCATACCTGCCTTGTTTTGGAATTTTTCTTTTCCAAATTAGAAGTATATTTTACTTTTTCAATTTTAAAAAGTTAACATGATAGCTGAATAAAGTCAAACAACATACAGAAGTACATCAAATGGAAACTAAAAGCCTGAATTTCCCCCTCGACTCTCCAAGAACAATCATGATTAACAGTTTGGGAATATAATCTAGAAGACATATGTAACAAAATTATATGTATTTAAAAATAAACACATACTGTCTATTCCTTTGTAAACCTATTTTTTTCCTTTTCAAATTGTTGTACACTCTTACCCTTTTAACCGCTGTATTCCATAGAATTTGTGTGTACCCTACTTTATTTAACCAATCCCAAGTTGATGGAAATTTGTTTTCAGCTTTTGGAAATTACTAACAATTGGAATTTGATTTGTTGGTAGCCTATTTCTGTCATCTCCCAGGTAAGTAGCAACATGAAGCTTTGAGGAATAATCAGATGAGGAGATCTGATAGCAGGTTTAACGGCCAGGCCTAGAGAGGGTTTCTGTTTATGGGTTACAGGTAGAAGAAACATCAATGTCATGAAAAATCTGCCAAATTATCTAATGTGTTCTCAGAGGTTATGTTTCCAGGTGCCAAAGTGAGGCCCAAGGTTCAACCTAGCTCCTGCCTATCTCTCTACTCCCATCTCTTCTCCTCACCTCCAATTCTGCAGTCCAGTCAAATGCAGTTACAGTAAGTTCCTTCAGCTGACACTGGGCCTCTGCACATCCAGCTTTCTCTGCTTGGAATATACAGTTTCTTCCTCCTTTTACTTTGCTAATTCTTATTCATGACTCAGCTCAGGTTTCACCTTTTCTGAGGAGTCTACCCTTACGCCCAAATCTTAGATGTTGGACTTCTCTTCTGGGCTCCCACAACATCCTATACTTACTGCCATGGCAGCACTCATAACACTAGGATGATCTGCTTACTATCTGTTTGTCCATAAACTCCACCAGGGCAGAAACCATGTTTTTCTCATAGTTCTATCCCTACAGTGGTGGCATGTAGTAAGTGCTTAACAAATACATAAAAAATTGTGACAATAATAATACAAAGGACAGGGACATGAGGTTACTGTAACTGAGGGATCTGACCGGGTCTGAGCAGTCAGGGAAGACATTTTTAAAGAAGTGATTGAGAGAAGAGATTGAGAAGTACAAATCAACTTATAGCAGGGGAGAAAGATGAACACTCCGGGCAGAAATACCAGCATGTACAAAGGCTCTATGGGTGAGGGGTCACTTGGAAATTTTGAAGACTTTAAAGAAGGTCATATAATTGGAGGGAAGAAAGGGAGGGATATGTATGGTCAGACTGGAGGCTGGAGAGGTGGGCAGGAGCCACGCTGAGATGTTGCTTGATGATAAGAGCAAATTTACATTTTGAAGGATTACTCTAGTTGCAGTATGCAAAATGGCTGGGAGAGAAGGCAGGAAAGATGTGATGATAGGACTAGAAGTAAAGCTGACAGGACTTGATGATGGATGGGAAATATAAGAGATATTAAGGATAACTCTTGCGTTTTTGGCTTCTTTAATGGTGGATAGAGATGAGAACACTGAAAGAGATTCAGGCTTGGAGTACACAGATTATGAGTTCAGTTGCAGACATGTAGAGTTTCAGTTGTCTTTGAAGTATTCTGAAGGAACTTAGGGGGACTTTAACATAGTAAGGGGACCAATCAGGGCCAGCTAGAAGCCAGCCAGAAACCAGCTAAACACGGCAGCATCAGACAGTGCTGTGTAGCCAGACTTTCCTAGTTTAGTTAAATGTTTGTTTCCCATTGTCTTCAGTCTCTCTGGTTTTCCTTTCCCATTTAAACTTTCAAGAAAGGATTTGAAACTCATTCAGGCTGATGTGTACATAATCCAATGTGGGCCACACAGGCTTGTTTTCCCTGGGCAGTTCTGATTCCTTGGAACAAATCTTAGGCTAGAGAGGCTGTAGGCTCATTAGAGACTTGGCTGGAAGTTGGCAAACTAGGGTCTAGTCCCGGCTGTCACTGATTTGGTGTATGGCCTTGGGCAAGTCACTGCTCCATTCTGGGTTTCAGTTTTACAATCTGTGAAATGGGGATACGTATCCTTGACTCGTAAAGCTCAAGAGTCACTGGGTGTGAAAGCGCTGCATTACTAAATGTAACAGATCTGTCATGAAGACTGTAAAGGGAATGAAGCTCTAACCATGGCGGTTAGAGAAGCCGACCATGGACAAGGTGTAGGGATAAGTGATAATTTTGGGACAGGATCCCTAGTAAATGTGTGGAAAGATCCCGCTGAGACTCTTGAGAAGCAGGCTCTGCCTTGGGGTCTTCTTGCTTGGAAAGAAAGGGGCAGTGCAAGCCCCATAAATTTTCTTACATCTCCAATATTAGGGCCTGTGTTCTTTTCTGATGCTACTCCCATGGCTTGAAGAGGGTCTCTCACTTCATCAGGAAAACCAACCCTATGTCAGGGCGTTTCAAATATCCCACGGTGTGTCAGGGATTTGAGGCACTCATATTAGGGAGCCCCATGTTTGTGATGGGGGAGGTTCTTAAGTACTCCCGAATCTGTACGGGTATCTCAGCGCCCTTCTCTCTCCTCCGCGCCCGTCTATTCCGTATGGGTGTTGAGTCTTGTTCACTGTGAAAGGGGGTAAGGGTTTTTTTGGGGGAAGGGTTTCAGGTCCCCGAGAAAAGAAGTGCCCCTCCCCTCTCCGTAGAGTTCTTGTCCCCTAGAACGGTTTTCCTATTATCCCGCCGGACTCACCCGCAGTTGCTGCCCTTCCAGCTTTGGCGTCCCACTCACTACCTCAGGGTTTCCCAGCGAAACTCCATGGTAACTACCTTCGCTAGTACATCTCGGCCAGGCGCCGTAAGCGCTGCCGCGATGCCTACCGGGAGCTGTAGTTCGCCAGGGGCGGGGCTCCGAGGTCGCGGATGTGCTGAGATTTGTAGTCTTTGCTGTTGAGCGGAGGCTGGGGTCCGGAAGTAGTGACACCCACCTCTTCTTTCCCAGTGGCCCTCACACTTCCTTTTCCCGGGCGCTCAAGCGTGTCCTTGCGTGCATACCAGCCGACAGGAGCCTATCAGAGGGCGGTGCGAGGGGCGGGGCCATTGTTTAAACTAATTGTGCGCTTCGCGCTGGCGCGAGCCCGCGTCAAACGCAATCGGAGGAAGCGGGAGGCGGAGCGGGAGCGCGCGGCCAGGTAACCGGCGCGGGCCCGCGGTTGGCGTTCGGCCTGGGCGCCCACAAGAATACAGAGGCCTCGAGGGGGTGCCGGAGAGGCAGGTGTCAGCGAAAGGCCTCCTTCGTAACGGAGTCTGACTGGGGGAGAATTTATTGGGAGTAAGGTTTGTGAGGGGAGGGGTATGTCGGAAGAGAAGGTGCTGGGCGTGCCTGGGGGGAGGGGGAAGAGTGTTTGGGGGCGTGTCTGAGCGTGACGGTGGGGGGTTGGGAGTGGGTAGTGCAGGTTCCTGAAAGACTTGTCATGAAGGGTCCCGTAATGGAAGCTTTCGGCTATTATTAACAATAGAAGTATTGGTGGTGGAGGTGGTAAACATTTTTTGAGCACCAGCTACGTGCCAGACATTGTTCCGCACCCTTTGTAAGGTCATTTTGTTAATATTGCTAACAACCTTTTTGTACTTTACTGCAGATGGGGAATCTGAGGTTTAACTTGGCCAGTTAAACTTTAGCTAGTGTATGGTTGGCTATACTGGGGTTTTTGAGGGTTGGGCCTAAATGAGCAGAGAGGTGGAAAGGGTTTGTTTGTGGGTGCAGATTGACTTGGAGGTGTCAGTTTATTTTATTTATTTATTTATTTTTAAAGATTTTTATTGGGGAATTAGGGGGATAGGAACAGTGCTGGGGAATTGGGGGAAGGGGAACAGACAAGTTGCTGTCGTCTTGTTCTTCAATCTAGTTGTGGAGGATGTCGCTTCACTGGCCCAAGTTGGCACCATCATCGCGCTCTTCTCTGGCGAGGCAGATCAGTCGCCGGCTTCTGGACGGCCGCTCATGCGGCTGCTGGCCACTCACGCTGGCTGCTGGCCGCTCACGCTGACTGCTGGCCGCTCACGCTGACTGCTGGCTACACAAGGTAGCCCATGGCAACCCACTGCCACAGGGACTGCAGCCTACGCCGACGCCGGCGACTCCCGGCAGCCCAGCTCCAGGTTGAGCTGTTGTTCAGCATCTTAGCTGTAGAGGGCAGTGTCACTGGCCCTCATATGTGGGATCCGAACCGGGGCCCTCTGGCATCCCAAGCGAGTTCTTAACCATCGCGCCACTCGGCCGGCCCTGTCAGTTTATTTTAAAAAATTTTTTATTTTTATTTTTTAAAGATTTTATTGGGGAATTGGGGGAGGGAAACAGCATTGAGGAATCAATCAGGGAAGGGGAACAGACAAGTTGCTGTCCTTTTGTTCTTCAGTCTAGTTGTGGAGGATTTTGCTTCACTGGCCCATGTTGGTATTATCATTGCGCTCTTCCCAGGTGAGGCAGATAGGTCACCGGCCACTGGACGGTTGCTCACGGCGGCTCTTGGCAGCTCATGGTAGCTTACAGGAGCCCACTGCAGCCTACGCCGTTGACTCATGGCAGCCCCAGCTTCAGGTCGAGCTATTTATTGTTCACTATCTTAGCTGTAGAGGGTGCAGCGTCACTAGCCCTCATATGGGATCTGAACCGGGGCCCTGCTGCTCAGAGCTGGTGTCCCAAGCCAACTTTTAACCAATGCGTCACTTGGCCGGCCCAGGTGTCAATTTATGTTGAGTCTCACTTTTCATATATGTGAACAACGAACTTACCTGCCTTACCTACTTCCTGGTGTTGTTTTGAGGGTCACATCAGGTAAGGTGTTTGGTGGAAGCATCTTGGGGCGTACAAATTTATGACTATAAAGTGACTGTGAAGGCTGGTGGGAAAGAACCCTCTCGGTGCCCTCTTTTGCTTATTCCTGATGTAGCGCTTTTCATCTGGTAATCTAAGAGTGCATGTTTGCCCTTCTAGAAACAGTGCCTTTTGTTCCTGTATTGTGATGCCTATGCAGGATATGAGACATGCCACAGCCGTTAATATATGCTTTGAAATGAATGAGCTTTCTTGGGGTGAAAGGGGATAGGAGCCTGGCTTTCCCATCTTCATTTAGTGGCTTTTGAACCTTTTTATTAATACTATCCTCTTGCCTGGAATGGCACTACCTCCTGAAAATATGGTATTTACTTGCTTTAATCCATGTTTCCCTCTCTGATGTCTGTTGCCTGATCTTGTATTTCCAAAGTTCTATTGTAGATTGTCAAGTGTGTTACTCTGGTGGGCAGAAACCTTTCATGGTAAGGGAATTGGGGCTCTACCTTGTGGAGATCTTTACTGTGGTGATATGGGAACATGGAGGGGATGTTCAGATCATTTAAGATAGCTTTCAGTCAGCAGGGATGAGTGTATGTGTTCCCTCCCTCTGTTCCTGTGTGGTATTTTCTCCTTTAGAGGAAGAGGCATATACATCTCTGTCAAAGTACTCTTCTTGGCTCAAGTTTAAGCAAATGCCTGATTCTTAATCTAAAGCCAAAAGCTCTATTCCCCCCCAAAACTATTGTAGAAGATCTTACCCGAAAGGTCACATAAGAAACATTTCTATTTAGAATATTCTTTTTTTAATGTAATATGGGAGTGGGAAGAATGCCTAGAAATAAGACTCAAGTTCTAGAACTTTTAGGATGGGGGCAATGCCCTGCTTCAGATGGCTAAACAGAGCTGATCAGGGAATGTTTGACAGCTGTCAGTTATTCATACATAATTGATAAAACCCTATGGTTGGGGCAGCTGGGTGGCTCAGTTGGTTGGAGCCGGGGCTCTGAGCAACAGGGTTGCTGGTTCGCTTCCCACATGGGCCAGTGAGCTGCATCTGAGTTGAGCTGCTGCTGAGCTGCCAACTGGTGGTAGGATGGCTCAGCTGGTGAGAGCGTGTGCTCTTAACAACAAGGTTGCTGATTTGGCTCCCGCATGGGATGGTGAGCTGCGCACTCCCCTCTCCCCTCAACTAAGATTGAACGTGGCACCTTGAGCGGAGCAGCCTCCTGTTAACCGACAGGTGGCTGGATGGCTCAGTTGGTTAGAGCGCATGCTCTTAACAAGGTTGTGGGTTCGACTCTCGCATGGGATGTTGGGCCGTGCCCTTCCCCCCACCCCACAACTGGATTGAAAGTGGAGACTGGACCTGGAGCTGAGCTGCGCCCTACACAACTAAGATTGAAGGACAGCAACTTGACTTGGAGATGATGGGTCCTGGAAAAAAAACAATGCTCCCTTTCCCCAATTCCCCAACACTGTTCCCTTCCCCCATTCCCCAACACTATTCCCTTCCCCAATTCCCCAATTCCCCAATAAAATCTTTAAAAAACAAAAACAAAAAAACCCCCTATGGTCAATAGTTATGTTGGGAGTAATTTATTTCATCCTCTTACCCAGTGTACACTAACATATCAAAAGGTGGTGTCCGTTCAAAAAGAGTGCTTACAAAAATGAGACCACTAAAGCAGTCCATATCAATGTTGAACAATACTAATTAATAATTATTTTTCTGTGGTGTCGGTGATTATTTCATTTTACCCATGTATGTTTACTGTTTTGTTTTTTCACCATTCTTGCACGTTATTCCTTCCTTTTGTGTCAAATAGACAAATACATCCTTCAGGTGTTTTTTTTTAGTGAGGATCTGTTAATGGTAAATACTCTTTGTTGGAAAATATTTTTATTTCCTCTTCAGTCTTGATTGATAGTTTAGCTGGATACAAGGCTTCCAATTATTTTCTCTCAGCACTTTGAAAATGTTATTTCACTGAAATTCTGGCTTTTTATTGTTACTCTGGAGAACTGAACTGACATCTATTTCGTTGTGGGTAATTTGCCTGTCTAATTTTTTTTAAGATCTTTTCTGTCATTTGTGTTCCGCAGTTTCATTACATGGTGTGTATTTAATTTTATCCTACTGGGAACTTGCAGTGATTCCTCAATCTGAAAGTTCATATCTTTCATCAATTTTGTAAAAATTCCCTGTCATTACCTCTTTAAATAGTGCTTCTCTCAGATCTTATATTACGTTGGTCCTCCACATCTCTTATTCTTTCCTTCATAATTTCCATCTCTGTATTTCTATGTCACCTTCTGGATAATTTCCTTTATCTTTGCATGTTAATTTACTCTTCATCCAATTTGCTTTTTGAATTCTTAATTTTAGAAGTATTCTTTGGTTCATTTTCAAACCTGTCTGTTCATGGGATCATGCTTTTTTTGTCCTGTGGTTTTCAATTCATCTTATGTTATAATTTTAAATAAGTTTAACTTATAGTCTCTGTTATATTCAATTATCTGAGGTTTTTAGGGGTATAATCCTGCCATTTGTTGTAACTGACTTTTGTTCACAATGAATTGTTTCCTCAAGTATTTTGTAATTTTGGTGAGCTCATATTCAGAGGAGCATCATTTATGATAATCTTATGTAGCTTGCATTGAGGTCAGTTCTCCCAAGAGCAGGTTTTTTTGGTTTTTTTTAAAGTCAAGCTTGCTTAGGTGTAATTTATGTACAGTAAATTTTACTTAAAGGAAAAATAGTTTTGACAGATGTATACATCTATAAGAAGCTGCCACAATCAAGATACAGAGCACTCCCATCACTTCCAAAAGTTTCCTCATGCTTCTTTACAGTACGCCTTTCCCTTCATCTTGGCCCCAGGAATCACTATAAAGTAATATGCATTTTCTAGAATTTTAGAAATGTAGGTCAAATCATACAGTGTGTACTGTTTTGTGTCTGGTTTCTTTATGTAGCATCATATGTAGCATTTGAGATTTAACCATTTAGTTGGGTGTAACAGTAACTTCTTACCTT